TCTGACTTTAATGGGGGAGATTTCAGAGTCAAACGGTTATCGGGTACGGGGATTCCCGAACTTGAAAAATTCCCGACGGGTATGGGGAGGGGATGGTATTGGCGTCCCCATCCTTGAACCTGACCCAAAAATATATATGTTTATATTTAAATAAATAAATATATAATTATAATATTCATGTTTAACTCTAAGTTAACCTCCCTCTCCTATTTCTTCCTAATCTTCTTTGGAATTTTATATTGATGTGATTTTAAATAGTTGAGTTGAACTTTATAGTTAATTTGGATGTGTTGAATGATAATTAATATGAAACTTAATGTGAAAATGTATGATAAATATTTTGTATGCAAAAAAAATCGGGGATTCTGGGTGTGTATGCGGAATAATCCCCCAACGGGAATGGGGATTCCCCGAAACCTATTAAATGGGAATGATTTTGAGGACGGGGGCTGGGATGAAGAGCAATGATGGGGATGGTATTGTCCTACCCGACCCGTTACCATCCCTACCAAAAATGCTTAGTGTAGGGGCTTTTTCGTTTCGGCAGCTACTGATGGGCTTGTGCTGCTATAAAGAACTGAATGTATGAAATTGCCTCTTGAGTCTGAGTTCAAGAATCAGACCCCAAGAGTGTTTCGAAAGGGTAGTTGAGCCTTGGGAAACACCTTGTTCTTCTTCACCAATGAAACCAACAGTCAAAGATAAATTCTTAGTTTGGCATGAGAAGCTTGTGGCATGGGAGCAAAGTAGTCATGAGTTTAGCACTTAAAGAGAGAAAGTTGTGAGTTCCTGGGAGAAAAAGGGGGTGTTAAGGTAAGAGAAGAAGGGTCTGCATAAAGGTTTGGCTAAGAATAAGGGAAAGAGAGAGGAATTGGTGGCTTGAGTGTTTTTCCGGCAGCTTGACAGAGGCTCTGTCAAGTGTTAGAACAGTCTGCCAGAAGAGGGAAAATGGGGAAAAAGGATGAATAGAGCATGAATTTGTTGGGTTTTGCAAGTGAGAGATGAAGCTTGCTCTCTGGATATGGGTTGTAAGAATGAGAGAGGATGCTTACTCTCTTGATGTGGTTGGTTTGATGGGTAGGAGATGGGCCTTTGTATAGGCGCTGGAAGCCATTCTTTTTCGAGAAACACTAATGGTTTCTATCCATTTTGGCCAAGCTTTTTCCTTCCTTTTTCCTCCCTTCCTTTGACTTATCTTATCATGGTAAAAATCCCCTCTGCCTAATCTCACAAAATCAGGGATTTTTGAGAGCTCAATGCTCTTCCCGCGGCTGCCTCAGTGGAGAATTCCTATTCCCAGCCATCTCCCTCCTTTCTTTCCTTCCTTATTCCATGGCCAAGTCTGATGAGGGAAAGGAAATGGGTATGCACGCTGGTTTGAAGGGTGTTTTGCTCAAGTATCCTTTGGTTTTTTGGATGGATTGTGTTGGGAATTGTCTTTGGCCATGTGCTGGAGATTCCCAGTAGCATGCATACATAGGCAGCTTTGGCTTTTGTCAAGGCTTTTGTCTCCAGCCATGTGCTGGAGATTGCAGATATTTTCTACTTGGTTGCTTGGGCTTTCCTAAGGTGATGGGTTAGCCAATTAAGAGAATGGGCTAATCTTCTTAGGTAATAGGTTATTTTATCAAAATGATGGGCTAATTTTCCTAGAGTAGTTGGGCTGGTTTTTCTAGAGTATTGGGCTTTTTTCTCTCTTTTATGCTTACCCACATATTTGGGCTCAAGAAATGGGCTTGAGTTTCGGGGCTCCCTAGCAGCCCAAAACTTCCATTTCTCGGCTCATCAATGGGCCTCATGAAAACTCGTAACCATCCATACCACAACCCGCTCAGCAAGCCCCAGGCATTCGCGTGGCTTGAGTCCACTTAAGCTTGTAACGTGACATGTTGCTTATTTGCTTGGCGTGGCAGGTGTGCAAGCGTATATGACGAACTCTTGCGTACCCAAATTGGGTATTTTCCCAAGTTAGGTGTCTTGCTGGACTAGAAATATATTTGGGCTCAGCCTTGGATTTTTTGGGCCTCAACACTTAGCAAAGCCAAAAGGCCTGACCTGCACCCAGGACGAAACTAACAAGGCAATCCACAGAGGACAGCATGATAATTATTCTTCTTTTATAATTTGATCTTTGACTTCATAAATGAATATGTCTTAATTAACTACTGCAAGTGAACAAAAGAAGTGCATAACACGGTGGTGCTAATTGCTCACCCCAGGTTCATTGAGTTTTTGAAGTATGAATATATATGTTGTTCTCCTATGCGGACGTTCGGAGGTTATTACTGTACAAACGTTATTGTAAATAGACAAAAACTGTTAAGATATCTAATTATGTCCAATAAAATCAACGAACACAGTACTTCAAGAAAGTACTAAAATAGCATTATTGTTTAATTGAGTGGTCAAATAAATTCAAATTCAAGTGATGTTATGCATAAATGATCTTTGAATGAATACTTAAAAAATAGATGGTTAGGCTAATTAGGATAATTGAAATATAATGCAGGATATGTCTTACGAAGTGTCCCTCAAATAAGCCTATTTGAGAAATCTCTTAACTGAAGCTTTGTGTATATACATGTGTATATATATAGTGCCAAGAAATAAAAAGATGTATGCATAGTATATATAATCCTAATTTTTGCGACCTATATAGAAAAGTTAAAGATGTAGGTATACGCATATGATGATGTTATCCTAATTCAGAAGCTTTTCTTTCTAAAATAAAAGTGGGGCCGTTGGAGGTCGTTTTCCACTCCAAGCGGGTTTTGCCGACGCCTTTTCCAATTTCCTTAAAATTACAGACTTGTACTTTTATCTTTAACAAGAGTCATCAATACATTATTACCAAACAATTTGTTTGTTTTATCTTGAAAAAGATGTAATTAATAATAACACAGCATGGCCCTTTCTTTTCCTTATGTTATTGTAAAGGAAAAATTACTAGATTGTTTGAGCTAACTAAATTTATTTGTTTTACCCCTCTAAATGTTATTGTAATTACTAACCCAAAAAATACTAAATTTATTTTGTCCTCTTTTAAGTAGCTAGATGGATGGGATAGAATTATATATAAGTAATAGGAAATATCTTCTTTCTTTCTTTTTTTATGTGGCACCTATTTACGATGATGAAAATCATCTAGCTAGTGATGATGTGGACATTGCTTTGTCTTTGTACTGCCGACAATGTAAAATGCTAGGTTTACCACATTTTTCATACCATATGTGTACCACTTTTTTAAAGAGATGGGCCCCATTATATTGGTAGGCTCCACCTTTATTAGAGATGTGGTATACATGTGGTATGAAAAATGTGGTAAGCCTAGCATTACCCAAAATATTGCACTATAAAAGCCACTGCTTTCTTCAACAATTCGCCACATCAACATTCAACTACTCAACAAGTAAGAACCAACACACCAAGAGTAGGAGTCTCTCTGCAACTGCAACAACCAATTCAAGAAGATGCACCGCCCAGGAGCCGACCCTCATGAACATGGCCATGGAACTCCAGGCGGAGGTCCAGGAGGCGGAGGTCCAGGCGGTCCAGGAGGCCAAGGCCAAGGCCAAGGCGGTCCAGGAGGCCAAGGCGGCGGAGGTCCAGGAGGCCAAGGCGGTGGCGGTCCAGGAGGACAGGGCGGAGGAGGTCCAGGAGGACAGGGCGGAGGCGGTCCAGGAGGACAAGGCGGAGGCGGTCCAGGAGGCAAAGGTGGTGGTCCAGGGGGGCACGGTGGCCGCTGATAAGTTAATGATGAAGGGCGACAAGACTTGTGGTGTACTACTAGCTAGTAGCACGTAGTCTATACATGATGATATAATTAAGTTGATGATGAGCGTAATTAGCTGATAATGATAATGTTGTGTTTGTTATGAATTAGTAATGTTTTTCTAGTTAGTTTTGCTAATCATGTTGGGTGAGATCCTTCCCTTCCCCGGCCATCTCCAGTCGCTCAGTTTCAGCTAGCTGGAGAAGAGGAGGGTGGTTTATGTAATACTAATGTATGATGCATGCATATGACAATAAAATGAAGAGCACCACTTTATTATGATATGTTGCCCTTGTATTCGTTTTAGTCTTGTTGTTTTTACTTTCACTTTTGTTTGGTGTAACCGACAGTTTTTACACCAAATTCTTTTCTCTTGTGTTTTTGAATAAGTTAAGAACAAGGAAAGAACTTGCAAAGCAGAGCAGACCAAAAATGCTTGCAAAGCCAAAAGGCCCGACCTGCACCCAGGACCAAACAGACCCTAGCTATATTCAATATTAATATAGCACAACAACTAATTAACTAAAAACCAAATTAAAAAGGCAATCCACAGAGGACATCATGATAATTATTCTTATTTTATAATATGATCTTTTAATTACTTCATAAATGAATGTCTTAATTAACTACTGCAGCACTTTACCCTGCACAACATTATTTATTCACTTGCACTTAAAAGTGTAATTCTTCTCTCATTCGAATGTCTGTACGTCATTATTATGCGGACATTATTATAAATATAGAGCAAAGTAAGGAAGTATATTAAAAAATACATGACGTCCACACAATAATAGCGTCCGGACATCCGCATATGAGAATTTCTCTTTATATATTTATATATTGCCAAGAAAATGAAAGATATATTGTCCTAATTTGTGTGACCTATATATGAAAGCAGTAGGTATACACAAGATTTTATTGGATAAGGAATACACGTGATGTTGTGGTTGGTTGGTGGTGTTGTTGTATCCTAATTAAGAAGCATGACCACACAAAATGAAATTTGATAAAACCAAACAAAAAAATTTCGCGTGATACGCATGTAACATGTTTCAGATGGACAGTAAATGTTCTTGTAATAATTTCTGTATTCATTCCCCAAAAAAACTAAATTTATTTTGTCCTCTTTAGTTATTTTATAGTAGCTAGATGGATAAGATAGAATTATATATAATTAATAGACTAGGAAATATCTTTTATATGTGGCAGTGGCACCTATTTACGATGATGAAAAGCATCTAGCATGTGGACATTGCTTTGTGCCGACAATAATATTGCATTATAAAATCACACTGCTTTCTTCAACAATTCGCCACATCAACATTCCCAACTCGACAAGTAAGAATCAACATCAAGATAGTCTCTCCGCAACTGCAACAACCAATTGAAGATGCACCGCCCCGGCCACCATGATCATGGCCATGGACCTGGCGGCGGTCCAGGAGGACCAGGCGGACCAGGCGGCGGTCCGGGAGGACCAGGTGGACCAGGCTCCCATGGACCTCCAGGCGGCGGTCTAGGAGGACCGGGAGGACCAGGTGGCGGTCCAGGAGGACTGGGCGGCGGTTGGGGAGGACCAGGCGGCGGTGGCCCAGGAGGACCAGGAGGCGGTGGCCCAGGAGGACCAGGCGGGGGCGGTCCAGGAGGACCAGGCGGCGGCGGTCCAGGAGGACCGGGCGGGGGTTGGGGAGGTCCAGGTGGCGGTGGTCCAGGAGGCCCAGGAGGCGGTGGTCCAGGAGGACCAGGCGGCGGTGGCCCAGGAGGACCAGGAGGCGGTGGCCCAGGAGGACCAGGCGGGGGCGGTCCAGGAGGACCAGGCGGCGGCGGTCCAGGAGGACCGGGCGGGGGTTGGGGAGGTCCAGGTGGCGGTGGTCCAGGAGGCCCAGGAGGCGGTGGTCCAGGAGGACCAGGCGGCGGTGGCCCAGGAGGACCAGGAGGCGGTGGCCCAGGGGGACGAGGCGGCGGCGGTCCAGGGGGACATGGTCGCTAGTGGTGTACTAGCTAGTAGTACGTAGTCTATATATGATGATATAACTAAGTTGATGATGAGCGTAATTAGTTAATAATGATGATGTTGTGCTTGTTATTAATTTCTAGTTAGTTTTGGTAATCATGTTGAGTGAGATCCTTCCATTCCCCGGCCATCTCCAGTGGCTCAGTTCAGCTAGCTGGAGAAGATAAGGGCGGTTCATGTCATACTAGTAGTACTGTATGATGCATGTAATATATAACAATAAAATGAAGAGAACCACTTTATTATGATATGATTATGTTTATTATATACTACCGATTGATATGTTTATCTTTATTCTTCATATATACATTTAAAACGGATATTTGATTTAGGGTGGTGTTAAACGAACTCTAAAATTAACTGAATACACCTTAATATTGAAATGAAAATGTAAAATTAATTAAGGATATCTTATTTAACTATAAAAAATACTCATGATATACCTTAATACACCATATCACACAACACCAAATCCATTCGAGAGCTAGCTGCTGCATTTCTGTGTCACACAGACTTGGTGATATAAAGATATCAATGGGGGATTTCCTGTGATCGTAAGAGAAATTTTTATGTTACTCTTTTAAGGTTGCTAAATTCGTTAGAGAGAAGCAGGGTATATTTGGACAGATATGATCAGATTACCAGTGCAAGTTTCAGCTGATCAAAGCTTTGCAGTTTCGGCTTAACTAGCCTTTGATTAAAGGGCCTTCTACAGCTTCTTTTTCATTTTTCTGATTTGTAATAATTTGTGAAGAACATGGTGTAATTAGCTAACTCTTTATTGGGTTTGAATGAGTCGTAGTGAAGCCAAGTTGTATTGTTTTCTATTTTGAGTCCGGAGGCTTTGAAGTTGATACTGGTATGATTTGCCGATGGTTCGTTGATTCATCAGTCGATTAAATTTTCAGATGAAGCAAATTGTTACCAAAGCTTCTTCTATTACCCAAAAAGCAAAGAATGGTTTGGAAACTGACACAATGGTAATGGTAGGGTGTACTTATTAAAATTACATTTGTTTCACAATCAATATATCTTTTTTGGTTATTTTATATTAGAATAAATTGGTAATTCAATAAATAGTTTGGTAGTAGAGTGCACTAAGTTAATTTTAGGGTTCGTTTAAGAGTACCCTTGATTTATTGGCTCGTTTAGATTACAAATTTTGAGGAAATTAAGGTAAAATGGTATAGCAAAGAAGATACATATTTGAGGTGAAGATGAAGAGTGGCATGAAGAACCAATTTGTTGTCAATCAAGATTCAAATAAGAACTTTTATGTGATACTTTTTCAAATTATGATCACCTAAAAGCCGTTGTCCATATATGTAGATTGCAGAGCCATTGGAGAGAGGACTTGCAGAGGACATTGAGAATGGTGTTGTAAGCATTGATTGGTCTCGGAAGGATATAGGCAATTTCTTCCAGACTAGTTATGAGTTTGGGATGTTCTAGCTGCACGGTCCATATGGGCATTATTATGTTTACAAAGTTTTTATTATCCTTGGTACCTTTTTAATCCTAACATAACTTTATGTATCTTCTATACAAAGTTTCCTTTATTCATTTACCCTTTCTCCTTCCTTTACTTGAATTGAATTCTAGTTATACATTCCATGCCTTGCATGATTTTGTTTGACACAAGGGTATATGTGCAGTGCAGGGACCTAACATTCTATTAGACGATACACTTTCAACTGAAGTTGAGAAAAGCTTGCTGAATGCTGTGAAGGATTCGATTGTTCAAGGTTATTTGAAATGAATTCTTGTTCTTTTGCCCGATATTGTTGTCTCAGTGTACTGCTTACTTACCATAATGTTATGGTGGACAGGTTTCAGTGGGGAGCTCTACTTAGATTTTCTGATTGATTTCTGATGTTGTTGTTTCAGATACAAACACCAATCGACTACTGTATTTCTGCAATCTAAACTTTTCTAGCTCGCAGGCGTTGACGTTCCTCAACCTGGGACCCCTGCTTATATTGTTAAGGTAACTTTGTTTATGTAGAGTTCCAATTTCATTCTGTTGGTTCTTCGTTTTATCATGAGGGTGAAGACTATTGCTGACAAGTGTGTGTCAATTGGATAATTCAGGCATTTTTAACAGTCATCCAATCTTTCGGGTTTGAAACAGACTTGACTTGAGGTACCACACCCAAGGACAGGCTTTTTGCCTATCAGTCTTCGATCCCTGGAACCTGCCCCAATTCAACACCTAGCCTGTGAGTTCATGCTGCTGCTGCTGCTGCTGCTGCTTGCTAATTATTTTTTCAACACCTGGAACCTGCTCCTGCTGCTCCTGCTGCTTGCTAATTATTTGTTCACTTTAGAATTCAACTGAGAATGTTTTGGTTAATTTCAATTTCAATGTGCCACTGCCACGTTGACATCACACACAGATGGATGCTCTTGCTGCTATAAATGCCAATGAGATCCATTTCTGCGTTACGCGGCACCTGCTAAAAGTATAATTAAACCAAATATTGTCCTCTATGGGCAATTATTTTCATATACGACAAACGACCCTATGGCCAATTCGCAATTATTCCAAAATACATAATGTCGTTTCTGCCCCGCTAGATTTGATAACAATATTACAACCATCTCGTGTTTGTTATTAACTTACAAGTTACAACTTTATTTACTTTTTACGTTTGCACGTGTGGTTCACACGTGTTCGAAAGTCAAAGCACAACCTCTCTTCTCTTCCCCTCTCTTTCCGTCTCTCCAAACTTCTCTCTCCCTCCCTCTGAAACTCTCCAGTCTCTCAGCATCTCAACAGCGATGGTGAAGACGAGAAAATGAAAGAGGTTATCTGAGCTCTGGTGGAAGACTTAGATATTGGATCACACGAAGCCAATACTGTAGCTTCGTCGTCACCTTCTTCCCCTCTGCTTACGACCCTCCGCCTCAATCAGAGATTGACAGGAAAAGATCTGGTAAAACATTAGGGTTTTATACATTTTTCCTTCTGTTTTTTGCAGTCGGTGAATTCTCTGTGCAACTAAAAACTCCAACATTTTGGATCCACCATCTTTCTCTGTAATTATAGTTACTGTATATCTGAGCATTCTGTGTGGCTTTTTGTGTGTAGTATTAATTGCAAAATATTGAGCTCAATACAGAATGCAATCCAAAACCTCAAGCCTAGCTCCAGCTCTCAACTACTTCCCTACCCTCAAACCCCCACACAAAACTCTAGCTTTCCACCAATTTTCAGTCCTCATCATCACCTTCCTTGCCTATGCTTCGTTTCATGCCTCTAGAAAGCCCCCAAGCATTGTCAAGAGCGTGCTTGGACCCACAATTCAGTCCAATTCCAGCTCAGCCGATACAGGGTGGGATCCCTTTAATGGTCCCCATGGTGCCCACAGGCTAGGAGAGCTTGATCTCGCATTTCTTTCTGCGTATTCGATTGGAATGTACTTTGCAGGGCATGTCGGTGATCGGATTGATTTGAGGTTGTTTCTCGTGTTTGGGATGATGTGTAGTGGCATTTTAACAATATTCTTTGGGTTAGGATATTGGTTTGATGTTCATTTGTTGGGGTACTTTATGGCTGTTCAAGTTCTTTGTGGGTTAGTTCAGTCAATTGGGTGGCCTTGTGTGGTAGCAGTAGTGGGAAACTGGTTTGAGAAAGAAAAGAGGGGATTGATCATGGGGGTCTGGAGTTCACATACCTCAGTTGGAAACATTATTGGTTCAGTTGTGGCGTCTGGGGTTTTGGAATTTGGATGGGGTTGGTCCTTTGTGGTGCCTGGGGTTTTGGTCATTTTGGTCGGCATTTTAGTGTTTTTGTTTCTTCCCGTGAGTCCAGAAGACTTGGGATTTGAGTCTTCGGTAAAGGAGATTCAGATGAATGTGGAAATTAATGGCATAGAGAATTTGGAGGGAAAAGTGGAATCAGAGGAAGCAGGTCTTCTTGGAACAGAAAATGCAGATGTCGATACAGGTGCAGATTCTTTGGCTGCAATTGGCTTTTTGGAGGCATGGAGGTTACCGGGCGTGGCACCATTTGCTTTCTGCCTATTCTTTTCAAAGCTGGTGTCTTACACTTTCTTGTACTGGTTGCCCTTTTACATAAGGCACACAGGTACTTCCTCCAGTTAGATTTTTATATATGACTTTGAAATTGAATTGTTGGGATCATCTTATGATATCCCATTATGGTTGAACTGCTTCTTTGGATTTCATGTTTGAGTTTTTATGTTCAAATACACCATCATGGATTGTCATGAAAATGGCTGTCCTTCGTCACAATTCACAAACAATCCAGAGCATTTAAAATTGGACACATATTGCAGTTCTATACTGTTAACTGTAACAGCTCCTATGTTTGTATGTGTATGCCTTTAAAATCCAAAATTACCCTAGGAGGATTATCTTCTCGTTTTCATTGTAAATTTTGTTTCGCCTTGCAGCTGTTGCTGGTGTGCATTTGTCACACAAAACTGCTGGGAATCTTTCAGCCATATTTGATATTGGAGGGGTCTTCGGTGGAATTTTAGCAGGATTGATATCTGATATGATTGAAGCTCGAGCTGTAACGTCAATAGCATTTTTGTTGCTTTCGGTTCCAGCCCTTGTTTTCTACCGGGTTTATGGAAGCCTATCTATGGTTGCCAACATTCTTTTGATGTTTCTTTCTGGATTGCTGGTGAATGGCCCATATTCACTAATTACTACAGCCGTTGCTGCTGATCTTGGTACCCAGACAGTGATCAGAGGAAATTCCCGTGCATTAGCTACTGTAACTGCAATTATAGATGGTACAGGTTCTGTTGGGGCGGCTCTTGGCCCACTTTTAGCTGGGTATATTTCCACCACAGGGTGGAACAATGTATTTCTTATGCTAATTTTTGCTATTTTCTGTGCAACTTTGTTTTTGATTCGCATTGCGAGAACGGAGATCAAAGGAAATATGAATGAGGGAAAATGGTCTTTGTATAGCATAGGCACACAATGATTGAGATTTTCTCAAGGCATATCTTTTTTTTTTCTTTTGTCTTTCTTGTCATTCCAGAAAAATAGATTTCATTCAGAGAGAGGGGCTATTGGTGCGGTCATTTGTGTATGTTTGTATCTCATTGTTTTGTAGCTCATTCATTGTTCCCAGCTTGTTGGGTTTCTTACCTACGTACAGATACAGCTAATTAATAATAAAAATTCTTCGACGGTTTGGTTCTATGTTTCTCGTCTCTTGCCTTCTTCCATCTCGAGTCCCAAATTCTTTTTGCCCATTGTATTGAATCAAATTGGTCTCATATTAGCGACAATTAATCAAGACGCGTGTAATTAGCTGTTCCAGTATGTGAAATTCAAGTTGCATGCAGCAGAGGCAGCCCATGAAGAAACAAATGTATGATGTTTTGAGCAGTCAAATAAAAAGCATTTTATGCGTCGCTGGCTTTTCTGGTTACATAACACATTCAAAAACCAGTAGGATGATCAGAAAACTCCACAAAGGTCAACAATTCCGATCATCAAGAGAGAAGGAACGCACGCTCAGTCTTATAGCCAAGTGAAGCTTAAACCTTGGACTTTGTATAACAATTATAAGTATTACAAGACATGGAAGGCGTTCTGACAAATAAATGTACACTACACTCTGCATATACCTTGAAAAACAAAGGTACAATAACAGAACAGCCTCTTCACAAAATCAGACCTGCCTGGCTACCTCAGTTATACAACACATTCCTTTCCTCGAATAAGACTTTAACTCCATTCTCTGCCAATAGGGTACAAGTGGTTATTCCAAAGCCTGAAGAAACGAATGTCTTCTTTATCCTTCCATCTTCTCTGGAACAGATTGGAGCACCGGATATAGAAGGAAGCAAAGTGGCAGTCCCTTTCTGGATGAATATATACACACAAGCCGAACTCCCGTCCATTTTCTAAGTATTATTGCTACCGGTTTGAACCTTTGCCTATCAAGGGAACATCAACTAATAAACAAGTAATTCTATCCTTCTAAGAAGCATTTGAGATCCTGAAGTCCTTCAGCAGAAATGCTTCGTCTGACTCTAGACCTCTCTACCACCACATGTGGAGGAGGCTCCAAGTGGAAACTCACCATAACCAGTGTCAAATTATCGATTGCTCCACGCTTTATTGCCTCCTCTACTATTTCCTTGCAGCACAACTTCACATCATTGTGCTCTTGGAGTCTCCTTCGAGCAAAATCAACAGCATTTTGGCTGGTGAACACATCCCATATTCCATCACTACCAATGATCAAAAACTCATCATCCTTGGTCAGAGTCATTAATTTAAGTTCTGGTTCAGCACTTAAGGGTCCTCCCCTTTCACCGCCACCCTTCATTCCTTCAAGATGCCAATCACCTAATGCACGGGTGACACTTAACAGACCATTTAGATAACCATCATCAATATATCCACCCAAGGATTCAATCCGCATTCTTTCTTTTGTGCAGCAGGGCCTATGATCTTTTGACATTTCTACAGCCACTCCACATCGTGACAATACAGCCCGGCAATCTCCGGCATTTGCCACAAGCAAAGACCTGTCCAAAAGGATAATTATAAGCTGAAGCAGACTAGTTGTCACACAAAAGGTCTGATAAAAACAAACTAAGCAGTCTCAAGAACGGGGCATGAGAATAGCCAAAAGTGCATAGATGTAAGATAATTAAATTAAATCAAATGGGGAGATTTAGGGTGTGGTCATTCTGAGCCATTATGATCAATTCAGTCTTCAATCTCACTAATCCCGAGCTGTGACCAAGATTTGATCACACAACATCAGTTTTCTTTACTATTTTCATTTATTGTTTTGCTCATGCAACAGACACAATTCATTCTTCAGCATGACACCCGCACAAATTAGCTGATTAGATTTTCTCTTATTCTTTAATCTGATGGCCAAGACTTGCAGTAATGATTATTAAGATATTACTGTTGTAAGTCAACACCCTTATTACAGATGACAGTCAACCTACACCGGAAGAAAGAGTCCCCTTACCTCCCAAATATCATTGCAGTGAGTGCAGTTGTTCCAGAAGCACGGGAAGACTCAAGGGAGCACGTTTTTGCAAATGCAGCATCCGTCTCCATAAATGACCTTGTTATCACCTTTTCAAGTTCTAATGGAAAGTCAGCATCCTCAACAACTACTCTTGGCAAATTGTCACGAACAAATTGTGCTGCATCCTTTCCATCATGGCCATCAAATACCTGTTTTTTTTATATAAAAAATTTGCCATTTACATCATCAAAATCTGATAAAATAAAGAGTCTGAATTGTTATGCATGAGCTTTCATTAAACTGTTGCAAGTACCCTTAAAGTTGCAAAATTTTGATTTAACTATTTAGAAATTGTCCAAAAAGCCTTTCTTCATATTATCGCTCTCATTGTAACCATGGTTTACAATGAAAACCTTGAGAAGTATTGGGGATGGTTTGAACTGTTATAGAACGGAAAAAGGTGAGAAAACTTACACCATAGAAGGAGATAGTTCCCTCACTGAGTACATTATAACCAAACTTTTTAGCTAAGTCACCAATGCATATATGAGTATCCTCCATACGGGTTCGACGCCCAATATCAGACCACTCTCCTGACCGAAGGGAAGGGGAAAAGTTCAGCAGGCTCTGTTTTCTGTCTACAACCACTGTATCCTCACATATGCTTTCAAGCTAAAAGACCAACAACAGGATGGAACTTGAATCAGAATGTGACGGATTGCAAGTAAACAGGTCAAGGGAACAGATTTCGGAAACACAAGAAAGTAAATTAGGAAATTTTTTTCCAAGTATAATATCAACACTCTCCTTGGAAAAATGTTCTCCAACCAGAAAATGAAACTCAAATCAATCACAAAAGTTTACATTGCATCGAAACATCAACATCATCGGGTTTCCCACAAAATTGTGGGATATGAAAAACTGTATAATGTTGTGAAATATCAAAATCAGTCAACACATAAAGAGTAACATAAAATGTAATTCCAGACAAGGAGCTCAAGGAGCAGATAATAAAAGAAGAGATCCACTACAACACAATCCAATCAAAACAAACCCTTGAAAAGCAAGAACGTTAGTCTTCACCATCCGGCTGTACAGAGCACGATAAGGAAGTACATAATTTTTGTAAATGAATCACCTTCCGACAAGTGAAAGCAAAACAAAGAATTACAGCTTAGCTTACTAAATAGGAAAAACAATTTCCAAAACAACTGTTTACGAAAATGAACTGAAAATTAGCAGAGCATGATTAAGAAAATAGGAATTCAAGCAGAAAACTTTCGGGCATGATGCAGTATAAACTAATGACAACAGTAAAATTTTGTAGTCTAAGTAAAATTATTGAATAGTGCAGAGCTACAAAAATGAATTTGTAATCACGATAGGCCAAATGATTGAGAAAAACACAAAGAGCAACAACCGGACCACGACCAACTACACACAAAATCCAATTACAGAAAAATCATAAAAGAAAAAAGAAAAATAACAAAGAAAGACCGGCAAAAGAAAGTTTTGTCAATCATCAATCACATAAGAAAACAAAGACCCAGAACTCAATTTCAACCGAATGATCCTAAAAAGTTAAAAAATTGAGACAAACCCAATAAAGCTAAGCAGTCAAAGAAGAAGAATTTGTACTTGAAATGAGTTTAACATGGTTTTCTGAAGACTGGAGCTGATCAAAGGAGTTTCCTTGTCCAAATTCTCCGTCTGGTTGTGCAAGATTTCACATTGCAAAGGCCACTGCTTGTTATTGTTGTCGGTATTGATGTTATTATTCTCCATATTCCCCATTTCTTGACCAAGCTGTTCTGCGTCTATCAAGCACATGCTTATGATGAAAAGGATAATGGCTGTGCTCTTCTTAGTGCTCAGTTTCTTAGCGAGTTGCTGAGGGAATCGGAAAGTAGTAGAAGATGCAGAGAAAAAGAAATATAAATTTGAGGTGAGAAGATTCTGAAAATATTTGAGAGAGAGAGAGAGAGAGAGAGAGAGAGAGAGAGAGAGAGAGAGAGAGAGAGAGAGAGAGAGAGAGAGAGAGAGAGAGAGAGAGAGAGAGAGAGAGAGAGAGAGAGAGAGAGAGAGAGAGCGAGAGACTGAGAATTCCAGATTTTTCTGTGAAAGCGTGGCTGCAAATCAGTTTGTTTGTTGGGTTCTTTGATATTATTCTAACTTTTCCTCCATTTTCAATATTGAAATGCAGACCCAAAAATAATAATTCCAAGTGCTTTCATTTGCTAAATAAAAAAGTGTATTTCAATATTCAGATAATTTTTGGCAATTCAAAATTGTATTAACGAATATGTAAATTTAATTTGACTAAAATCACAGGAATTAATGATTAATAAATATCTCATCTAAAACAAACAAAAAGGTGTCCCATTTTATAACATATTTCTTAATCACTAATATTTAATTCACGTGGTCTCAAGTCTTACCCACCAATAAAATTCGAGGCTTCATAAACCCTTTTTGACAAGATATTATTGGACTGGATGCGTTGCGCATATCCGATCCACCATCATATGCCTTTCTTTTTCTTTTCTTTTTTTTGATGGACACATCTGCCTTTCGTTTCACATCCATTCACAATCACAACACTGGAATTTCTTTTTTTAAGTGCACTAATATTATATAGGCATGCTTATTTAAGAAGTAAACAAATTCAAGAAAGGTTTTGCCAGAATTAATAATAATAAAAAGCTAAAGATGGGGTTTGGATAGTTTTCCAAGATATATGCTAGGTTTTGTTTCATAAATAAAGCATAAGAGACATTATCTGCAAGACCATAATTTGTCTTAAGCCTAATTAATAAGTTATAGGGCTTACTTAGGAAGTTTGTTTTTGTTTAAATGGGGCAAATAATTGCTCCAAAAAGTTTGAAAGTGAATTAAATGGGATTTATTTTTCATTTTGCTTTCCACTTTTCACTATGACAATATCTTCTTGGTGTTCTTTGTCTCCAAGGCAGCTGATATTATGTTTTGCTTGCCCTTTGCCTCTTTCAACGGAGGTCTACAATATCATCCACTTCTCTGCAACTTGCCCACTAACACCATCTTTTTTTCATTTTAAAAATAAATTATTTTCACAGCTCACTGCACTAGAGTTGTAATTTCGAGGAAAGAAACTCCTTAGGGTTTCAAACCTGGGTTCCATGGGAGGAACTGTGTAGGAACCCATTAGCAATTATTTTCAGTTTGCCTAAAAAAGCTTTATTATTTTAAAAAAATGGGTTAGGTTTCCAGATGCTTTATTGGTGTCATACTCAAGCACTTTTTCCACGAGAAAGTCAATCAAGCAAAGCCAAAGAAAGGAGGAGCTCTTCTTCTTCAGGAAACTTTTTTATACTTTTCAAAAGGAATCTTCCTAGTAGGCTGCTTGCTTACTCCACGCCAACTAAGACCAATACGTGTCCTGGCGCTCACCAGTGGGTGCACCCTGACGTGGCATAACCTTGTCCACCGGATATTATTAGTGCAGCTTGCGGTGGTGTTGCCCATCCTGCAAAGCCATTAACTTGGGTAGAGAGATATGGGCCTTATTATTTCTTGGGTTGGATTAGTGTGGTAGCTGGGTTGGCTATATCGTACACAAGAATTTCATACCCACTTTGCTGCCCATACCATTTTATTCAACTTTGGTATGTACTCAACCCGCACCATTAGACAAAACAAAATTAGTCATCGTTTCAGTAGCCGGGGTGGTGCAGCACAAGCACGCACACGGCAGACCCGGTGGTTATGGTAACAGCTGCAACTACAATGACATAATTGCAATGTTCATCGGACTCCATGACAGAACATATGCAATAAGAACTCGTGACCATCCAAAAAATAACTCATAACATTAGCATTTTCTAGCAAGGTGCACTAGTCATTTCAACTCAAAGGACACTATAGATGACGCAAATTATTAGTATCCTAGATTGAGAAACAGAATTGAAAAATGCCTATTTTGATACCATGCGGATCTTCAAAACCACAAAATTTAACCACTACATCAAAAATCGATGGGGAAAAGAAGGTGGGTGGGAACAGGGGGAAGCTACTATATCTCCTCAAGTCTATAACATAATCAGTTTGCCAAAACCAAAAATGCCTTCAGCACAAGCCTACCACAAAAATCATATACCAAATCAAATTCCAGTGAAAGCCTTCTTGCCAGCACCAGAAGATCCAGCAGGGGTCACCTTCAAGACGTTGAACCTCTTAGTCTTGGACAATGGCCTGAACATTCGTAAAACAAAATCAACAACAAACAGAAATGAGAATGCCGCCCACCGGCCAAATTATATTCATAAAGAGGTAGTGAAGAGAAGAAGAGCTTGTAAGGTATATGACCTGCACTGTCCAATTGTAACATGATCCCCTTCTTTCACACGGAAGCATGGAGACACATGCGCAGGTATGTTTGAGTGTCTCTTCTCATACCTTAAGCCACCAACCAAAAAGAAAAAGATTTCAGAACAACAAAAAACATGATGCCCTTTTTTTCCCCAAAATGACAGCAGAAATTATATAGAAAGACAACAAATGAATACAAGAATCATGCCTTTGGTATTTCTTGATGTAATGTAGATAATTCCGTCGAACGATGATTGTTTTGTTCATCTTAGCACTGTGGCAAGTGCCAGCCAAGATACGGCCCCTGATAGAAACATTTCCAGTGAATGGGCATTTCTTATCAATATAAGTCCCTGTAAGAAACAAAAATAAAATGTAGAGCACGTGTATCAGCAAATACCATAACATGTAGAACATTAGGGCCAAAAAGAGACAATCGGAGTAGGCTCAATTTGAAGTAAGAAATATAATCCAAACTTCAGAGATCAGAAAAAATAAGCAATGAATTTCTCTAATAGAAGTCATCCACACACAACTGTCACAACTGTCTCTAAGTTTACATAATTTTTCTAATCAAAAGGTAGTTATATACGCTCATGAAAGCACATATCTTAAAGAATGCAAATCAAACTTAGAAACGGCAATGCAGCAATACTCAAAGGCCACTTCCCAATTAACCCACAAATTGAAGGCCTATCACTATCCACATGCATATGCATAATTACAAATCAATCAGTCAAACTAAAACCCTAGTTCATTTTCATCACATTGCATAGCTTGAACGGTCCCCTGCCCATATATAAATAAGTATATATATATATATATATATATATAGAGAGAGAGAGAGAGAGAGAGAGAGAGAGAGAGACCTTCAATGGCTTCCCTGGGGGTCTTGAAACCAAGCCCAACGCTCTTCCAGAAACGGTTTCCACCCTTTCCAGGTCTCTTCCCCTTCCCAGATTTCTTCGAGCTAATTAATTACATCACAAATAGAAAAAATGAATAACATAAAACCCAAAAGTAAAAGCATAATGGTGCAGAAAAACTAAACACAATCAAAACTTCATGGAAGATAAATATTTTTTTTAAAATGAAGTTTCTTCGACTAGCTACCTGATGAACACTTTGGGCTGCTTCAGAAATGCCTTCTCAGTCTGAAACCAAATGTATTATAAAAACAAAAAAGAGAGCACCGTTAAAATGAACCAAAGACCAAAGTTCTAGGATAGAATAAAAAGCAACCAAGATAGAGATAGAGATAGAGAACCGACCTGTTCGGCCATGTTTGATTGATAGCTCTCAAGGAGTTGAGGGATGGTCTTTCAGAGGAGGCGAATTAACGTTCGGTGCAACAAAACAAACGCTAACCCTAGTTTGCGCCACATGCGTCTTGTTTCTAAAACCTCTATAACTTATAAGGGCGCCATTCGGGTGAGTTTGGCCCAATATGGGCGGCCCTTTGTTTGGGCCAAGTTGGGCCGGATTTTATATGCGCCTCCAACCCCACGGGGCCTTTGGTTTTTCTGTTTTCTTCCTCAATACTTCCCAAAAGGCTTTTTATTGTTTTTCATTCAATTTTTGGTGTAATTATTATTTTTATATACGAACAATAATCTAAACTATTCTAAATTAAACTAACGCGTCCTCACATATTTTACCATGATTAACATTTGTAAAAGTTAATATGTTTAAAGCTTTATTTACACTCATCTAAACGAAGTTTATTCATTCCCAATTTATCATATTTTCATGTGTCAATGAGTTAAATTGGAAAATCCAAACACTTAGTAGAAATAAGAAGGCATCGGCCTTTTGTGGAGAACTCTCTCCTCAGCTTTGATAGACCTTTAACCTTTTCATTTCACGAAATATTATTTAAAGCTTCTCTTCTGTACATATATGGAAAATATCCAGTGAAGCAAAACAATTATAAAGTACATTTCAATGCTGCTAAACAAATTCTGACAACAGCAAGGGCTCCCATTTTCCGTCACAGCAAAGGTATGACTCCAAACTTCACCCTGCTCCTCTACCAATTATCCGATAAGATTGATCACGTGTTCCATGTGAAATTCAGGCTTTATGTAATTCAAGGAATGTAATAAACACTAATATTATAGGGATCATCAAAACTATGTCTCAACAGGAACTCGATAAATTTTACAGAGTCTCTCGCTTTGAGGTGAAAAACAAAGATTTATATTTCAACGACTTTACTCAAGAAAACTCTTCACTTTTTCCAGACCATGGATACCAATGCCAGTGCTTAAACCCTCTAATCATAACTCACTCCATCTGCATTGAAAAAAGCCATACTACTTATAAACATCAGTAAAAACAAACAACAAAGAAAAAAGGGTACAAGAAAGAAAAGAAAATGGATTAAGACTTTCATCATCACCACCTTTTGACGTTTTGAACTAGGAGGATTTGGTTCGCAATCACTCCGCCGACGGGATGTCCCAACATTGGAGTTCTCAGCCTGCAAAAAACAAATACTTCTCTTCATGTTCTTTATCAATTAATTAAACTTTCATTTCAGCATAACATCAAGATTTACAACTTTAGGCGTAGCAGCCCATGCTTTGTTTGGCCATTAAGAAGAAAGAGAGCTTTGACCCAAGAAAAAAAGGAGAAGAAAGAGAGCACTGACTTAATGAAACTAGAAATCCAAAACCTGTTAAAACATGAGGCGTGAAATGCCATGACAATGATAACTGGTGTAGCATGCATACCCTGGTGGAAGAATCTTGGGCCATTCTGTGCTCAGAAGAATTTTCCACCGCTGTAGGTACAAGACCTGGCTCTCCCCCTGATGCTTGAGATATGAATGGCATGATTTGATGAAGCAAATTAGACAAAAATAGTCCTTCATCGGTAACCCTCAGTTCGGCTTCTTGTGCACCCACAACACCACTCGATGTCCTTGCCTGATCTGATACAGAACCTGTAGTCAATCCCTCTGCACTGCCATCTTCTACGTGAATTTCACCACCAGGAAAGAGGTTCCTTATAAACTGTAAAATGCCGCTTGGGATCTGTCTCTCAGATTCTTGGTTGTTTTGGGTTCCTCCAGCTGATAAAATGTTGACACTGACACTCCGTGCAATAGATGGCTCCTGCCTTAAATTGGGGGTTGATCCTGCAGGAAACGGGCACTAATGAATTATTCAACTTATGATAGCAACTTGATCGCCCTGGTTAACTGCATTAGAAGAGATAAACAAACTCAAATCCAGTGTTTGGATGAGCTACTGCCTAATTCAACTCTTGGGAGTAAGACCTCAGATGAGCTACACATTATTATTTGTTAAAAAACAACCTTTTCTATAGCTACTTCACAAGCCACATATCATAACAAATTAAGACACATGCAGTTTCTAAAACAAAAAAAGAAGAAAATATCTAAGGAACTTTTGTTTCTTCTTTCAGCACAAATTAGTAAAGCAAATGAATAAAGATTAAATTCAATGACTCGTGCACATCATGACTTTTGGTTGGACAAACAATAAAATGTAATCTTACTTTTAGACGTAACATGTGAAAGAATAAACCCTGTAAATATGATTGTATGGTCTATGTGGCAACTTACCTTAGCTGTACTTCATAAACTAGTATAGCATATTAATATCAACTATTCTTATTATATTATTTTTTCTCTCTCTCTCTTTTGATCTCTCTTTCCTTCCTTCTCTTCTTACAAGAAGATTATAAACTAGGATCTTCCCATCATCCACCCAACCCCAATGCAACCCAAACCAAGGAGCAGGGCCCTCTATTCACCCTCTTCACTCCAATATCTTAAAACAATTCAGCCTTCCATACTTGTGAATTTTATGTACTAAAAGTATGATTCAACTACTATGTTGCATGGTATATTCACTGGCGGAGCCAGAAAACAAATTCTCTTCCCCTGGAACCGCCAGAAGGTAATATTACCCTCTCTTGCAGGACCTCCAATGTTTTGCTCCGAAGATTGCTGATCAGCATGGAGACCGGCAGGAGGACGATCTCCAGAAGCTAGAGTTCCTCGTTCACCACTCACATGTCCAGAAGCTACATGTTGAAGCCTTCCAAGTAATGGATAGTATAACCCTATCGAATTACCAGTAGAATCAGATGGTAGGCGACTGAGAGGTGCAGGTACTGCTGCAACCATGGTCCTAATTGGCACTATGCGTACAGTTGAATCTCCAGCAAAAGCTGGACCATCTGAGACCCTTGAAGTAGCTTGATTAGTAGGATTTTCACCACCAGAGCTTGCTGGGTTTCTTTGCCCTGAAGGCTGCTGAGTATCCCCATGTTCCTCCCGAGTGACATTGGGCGTTGTTGCTGATGAACCTTATGGGTAAAATGAATAGTGCTTAAAATCAACATATATTTTACATCAAACAAAATTAAACAGAACATGAATGGAAATAGCCAGGGAATAAATTATAAAAGGTACCTCTTCGTATTTGTATATCAATACGCCTTGGAACAAAACCAGTACCAAGTCCATTAACAAGACCAGAACCAGGCTGCACAGCTCCCATGGGGATGGCACCAAAGCTCATTCCTGATTGAAAAGGAAGCGGCTGGCCAAGTATGATTCAGCTTCAATCAGTACAAATAGAACTATTTTCAAAAGTGAGGTATGAATTAAGTGTTTAGAAAATTGCCTGAACCATTATCGGATTAGGGCCAGTCGGGGATATGAAAACTGCAGGTCCAGCATTAACCACCGCGTCAGACTGCATGAGAGATGCATCAGAGTCCAAGCAAATTTTATAGGTCAGCAACATCTAAATGGACAAGATGACAAAACAAGGAAATTAGAATTCCAGAACACTACCGGTGTTTGACCCAGTTGCAATGTCATGGTTGTACGACCAAGTTCAAGTAAAAAGGCGCCAAGGTTGTGAAACAAAGCTCCAGTTCTTGACGCACTAGATTGGGCACTGAACCTTGCTGATGGATCAGTCACATTCACTTGATTCTCCAGTTGGCTTGCAAATTGCTGCCAAGATGTAACATGAAAAATCGCAATGTCTTTTCTTTAACATGATAAATCAAACAGCTGAAAGCTTTTAGCTATTATAGGATCACAGTAACTACACTCTTCTGCTTTCAAACAATAAAATTAGTCACTTATGAGAACTAAAGAAAAATCAAACTAATAGCACAAGTTGTCAAAATTGGAACACCAAATTATATACTTGAAATAATATAGCGAAAAATTACAATAACACTTAAGAACGCACAAGTAGGGATTCTCCAACTTGTTCAAGGAGTAGTAGTCGAGTAGAACGCATGACTTCTGCCAACGATGCAGGTGAGGGGAGCCCCTCTTGCCTTGCCCCTGTATGTGATGAGGCATTGGAACTTTCTTCAGTCCTAAGAGTAGCAGCTGTTTGACCCCTTCCCCCATCTCTGGCTGTTGGTAAATGAGTGTTGAAATTATCTCAGCAAACCATCAACATTGGTGTGTAACAAACATATATGACATATCAATATAAAATCTTGTATGTAGAAACTCACCAATGGCCTCAAATTCACGCCTCAGATGACTGAGATATTGGGATAAAGTAGTCAATGAATCAGGAATTACCTACAAAGACCACCGACATAGCAGAATAGTTTCATTATTGTTTTGTCATTAAGTTAAAGATCAAAATAGGCAATCAGAATAAAAACAAATGAAACAAATTGGAAACTTTAAACTTGCCAGGGGTGGTAGAGTCCCCAAAGAAAATTCTGCTGGATGACCAAAAGTCCCATTTGATCTATCAGAGGGACCCCTTGAGCCAGCTTGTTCAGACTGAAATTGGGAAAAATCAAACATACCACTCAAACCTGGTGTCCTTTCTGGCCTCTGTGGCCCATGTTCCTTCAGCATATCAACCATCCAAATACCAGATTAATGATGTAAGCATAAAAGTGCACATGAAATTTAAACAACAAATGATCTACATATGCAGGTGCACACAAACACAGTATCTATCAATTTTGTCAGAACGTCATTATGATCTTTTTTTCTTGGCAACCTCCAAGAAACTACCCTTTTCTTTTCCTCAAGCAAAGCCAAGGTCAAGTATTTTCATTACTGTGAATACTTTGTACTAATTTGGAAGTGTGCGTGTGTATGTGCTTTTGCACAGAGAGAGAGAGGGGAGAGAGAGAGAGAGAGAGAGAGAGAGCATTGCCTAGGAAAGTTATATAAACCCATACTTCCAGTCATACAAGTGATAAGCTTCTGAAATTTTAAAATTTTAATTTACCCTGACTTCAATCCCTTCACTGCCACCTGAAATATTTGGTAATCCTATAGAGCCGAGAATGGCAGAGATGATCTGTTCAGAAGCAGAGATAAGGGAGGAAATCATTACCATCAGACGTAATTACACCAGTAGAAATACAAATTATTCAGTACTCACCCGACTGATTTCTGGTGGAAAACCATCCCCTTGAACAGGCATGCTGAAAGTTTCAATAACCACACCAGGGGCAACTTGATGCTGACCACGGCTTGTACTTGAAGCCGGATCAGTTCCTACACACAGTTGAAAGCATGCAAATAATGCACGTGAGATTTAATAGTTGAACCAAAGACCTACAAGAGAAACAAGCTCTGCTACCATGTTGGATAACCAATTTTTCCAAACAACCCAGACGACTGTGTCCAAAGCTTAAAACATGTTAACGACACGCAACATGTAAAATTGAAGAGTACTCTAAATTTATTGATTTCACATCAACCTGGATGATTTGGTAATCCCTCGGATGAGGGTGGGACAGGTTGCCTGACAACCAAATGTAAGGTGTGACCATCTTCAACATCTAAACTGTGCTAAGAAAATACTTTCAAATGCTTAACATGAAAAGTTGGTGAGTGAAACTTCATTTAAAAGAAAAAGGGAACTTGATGTTGACTAGAGGAACCAATAATAAACCCATCTCACACAATATTCATAGCTGCATTTGTTCATATAATGCCTAATTTTTTCAAACTTAATCTAGAAAAAGAGCTGGCAAGTATTAAACCTTTGCTATTGATAGAGGAAATCTCTTAGCAAGAGTATGTGACATTTGTTCAATGTATTCTTTTTTACTTCATAAAAAGGAGACCAAAGGAGGAGAGGGAGGTTAGAACTTTGGCTCTGGGCATGAGGGTAAGGTCATTACCACTGGAGTCATAAGCCCCCACACATTTGTTCAATGGATTTTTCACAACATTACCCGAAACATAGCTAGTATTAAATCTTTAGTTAGCATATCAAAGTTGTCTTAATCTATGTTTCACAGTAATGGTTGACATTATTATTATTTCATATTTTTCATAGGAGATTTTGAGTAACTTTATCTATGTTCACGTCTAATTGAATTATCTTCTGTTGCATATCTTGCTGCAGAGGCAAATCTGATTATGATTGAAAATTATACACATACGAACACGACTACTATTAACACTATTGCAAGTTCCAGTTTAGAACGCAGAAGAACAGAAAATCCTAATTAACCTAGAGAGTGCCACAAGATTTTCAAAACTCAAAAATTCTTTCACAAGTCAAAAGACCAAATAGGATACGATAGGCAGAGAGAAGCTGATCATCCTTTAGAACTTTTCCTCGGCATATTAGTCGTTGTTGCTCGGATAGTACACCAGTGACAGAGGCAATCTGCTCTTTCAAGGCAGGAACTGGCATCTGCAGTTGAGAGAAGAGAATTTGGTTCATTTTAAAACCTGTATGCAAAACTACAACAAAAAACTTTCTACCAGCATGTTCTCACAGGCAATATTACTTCACAAATAAGTTTCAATAATTATCTTTAAAACTAGCATATACATAAGTAATTTCAAATTATCGCACATATTAACAGTTTTAACTTAAGGAAGCAATCTCAAGCTGCTGGGCACACATTATACGGATGCACCAGAAATGCACATGCATTACAGCGGTGAAGATTGTACAGGAGGAATATAACTGTTGCTCACCTGAGCAAAAACAAGCCAACAGAATTATTAAGCAATAAACTTACTAAATAACTTTATATAAATGGCCAACCAAATAACTGAAAGCCAGATCTTAGTGGGAGCTATAATAAAAAAGCCACAAGAGTAACAACCTGTTTATCCACCCTGAGAGTATAGGTTTGTGAATCCAATGTTTTTATTTTTATCTCAACAGTAGTTTCAGACCCTTCAATTTGCTCGCACATGGGAATGTGTTCAGCACTATTACTTCCCATTCTTCTCAGACCACACTGAACCTACGAAGGAGCGATAGTATAAATAAAAAATACTGTCTTCTTTTCCTTGAGCATTCAATCAGCTACTTTAATTCATTGGCAGCAATAATAGACAAATACGAAAAACAAAATGAGAAAGAAAAAAGAAAACAATTAATTTTATAAGGCATACCCAGCTTTACTCTAACAACTTGCTCACAATTGTGGTAAACACACGGGAAGATATTCTTAGTTAATTCCCAAACCATAAAAACAAGAATGTCCAACGAAGAATTGGCACATCCAGTCTAACATATTTGAAATGTGTTTGATTTCCCAAAACCCAAGTCAATTAACCCTTGCTCTCTATTCTGAGTTAACAGCATTAAACTCACTATGAAGTCTGACACGTGCAAGGCAAAACATAAAACTAACTGTTATGACATGCATTGCAGTTAAAATGCCCCAAATGCAAGAAACCATACGCATAAAGAGATCTTGAGGACAAAACCTACACATCTGATGCACAAACAAACACCGTATCCGAACTATAAGGAAAGCAACAGCACTTATATCACAGTTTCCTTCTCTACTTTTTCATTGACAGCATCTATGACCCGTTTGGACTTTGATCCATTACCACACTAGTCAGCATACATATCAAACTATGTTCTTTTTCAGCCACAATGAGATTTGGTCTTGATGTGAACAACTCAATTCACAACATTATTTTTTTCGTTTGGAATTTGCTTTCATCGCATGCAATCTCTCAAAACCTCAGTAAAGTGAACACCTTTATTCATGCACTCAAAGATATGAATGGAAAAGCATTTGTAAGAAAATAACAGCCTATATACCAACAATCTTAGGGTTTTCCGAATCAAGAACGAATAGAAAGAAAATATCAGCATACTTTCAATATCCAAAAACTCCAGAAGGGCAAAATTCATACACGGACAAACCAACCAATAATCACCAAACTCAGAAGCACGAAAAATTCGATTGACCCATCAAAATAAAAACGAAAAACCCCAATACACACGACATGATCATACTTACCTAAGCCAAGAGATCAACTAGAGGAAGCTTCCAGAAGATGGAGAAGCTTAATAATAGCCCAAGAGCGGGACACAAAAGCCCTCGGAGAGAGAGAGAGGGGGGTTTATATGAAAATGGTCTCCGCCACCGAAATTGGCTGGGTCGCCCGCTCTGTCACTGTGTGGCAAACGATGGATGAGCACCTCGGAAGGCCAGGAGGGAAGTATAATGCCTAAATTGGGAGAGTGATGGTGGTCGGGTGGCAATCGACCTGTAAATATTATTCTTACCTCTGGATTTTCACCGTTGGGATTTGGGTTTTTTTACTGCTTGCTTCTTCGCAGTGAATACTGAAGGGGAAAATAAAAAATAGAGCACGTGTGCTTTTTTATAGTCCGACTCTGACTCTGAGCAGTTGATGAACATCATAAGCTGAGGTGGTTTGATGACGACAGGAGTGAAATGTCAAATTGTTCGAGGATGTTTTTGGCTATCAACAACTGGGTTCATTTTTGTATACTTTTTCTTTCTTCCCAAGCAATGAAAAAACCTTATTCCAATCAAATAGTTATAATTCGTTTGGTATCTATTTCATTATTTTATCATATGGTATATTTTTCTCTCTTTTTTTGGTCAAATATGGTATCTATTTAATTGAGCACCACATTAATCGATGAGGATATTTTAAATATATGGGATATATTTCATACTAGTTGATTTTAATTGCCAATAAAGGAATTACATATAAGGAATATGCAAAATGTATTATATATTCAAAGATATGTTTCTTGATTTGCTTGTTTTGTAGATTTCATATATAATATGCTTACTTACTTGGAACATAAGAAGTCGGGAATCAGAGAAGTGATTAATGATTATGAGATTAATTACTCTTTTTAATCAATCTAATTTATGATATTTTCAAGAAGAAAAAAAGGGCTTGGGAATGGAACTCACTGTTCACACACAAACCAACCATTGGAAAAGAATATTTCATTTCCTATCACTTGGGACATCAAATCCTTTCTGCAAACCAAATGTGGTTAAAATGAAGGTCATGAATTGGAATAATCAAGTATCCATTTCATTCAAGTAACCTTAGTTAGTTAGGATGTAATTCAAATCCAACTAGATGACGATTTTTTATTTTTTATTTGTACAAACGATAGGATAATTAAAATATAGTTATACAGCCACAACAAAGCTACACTACAACTAGTTATCGAGTCACAAATATATATCAATCTCATTGGGTTATTCAATTATCTTTTATGTACCCCACAAACAGAGGGATACTATCTTCCTTCTTTTGTCTTCTATTTTTAGCTTATATTTTTGTAAACCCCAAAGTGAAACCCTATTGAAAATCAGAATTTGGCATTTCTTTATCAATCTCAAACTTAATTATATGTACAATATTCTATAGTCTGTGTGGCTCTAACTAGATTATCCATTTGGTTTACACAACGATTTGCCAATAAAAAAAGATAACTGGATGGAAACGTATTATTGAAGTTGTGTTTTTATTGACATATACTTTGTGTAGAATGTTTTGGTTCCTCTTGGAAGAAATAAAGAGAGATTTGTGTGATGAGGCCCATCTAGTGTATAGTAGTGGGAAGCCCGTCGGTGGAACTCAACTGATCCATAGCATACGATACGAACTTGGAAAATGGGTACCCAGCAGCCAGCCTTTCAGGCTTCACCAGTTTGGGTCTCACTCAGACCGTCCATCTAAAAGACTCAAGAAATGGGAGAGAAGGCTTCACCAGTAACTCTGGTGTAAGCACGTATTTATAATATTGGATTGATAACTTACAATTCAAAATACAAGAGCTATTCCACTAAACAAGGGATCAGCTCAAATACAAATTAACCCTATCAGCATATCAACTATTTAAATTCAAATCCACAACTGACTTATCACTAACAGTCTGCGCATGATTTGGACTTGGTCTAACATCCCCCCGCAAGCTGAATGCTCGTTGAAGAACAGGCAGCTTGAGAATCAGTGTACGAAAACGAGACGAACTGAGACCTTTGGTAAATAAATCCGCAGTCTGGTCTTGAGAACAAACATAGTTGACAACCAGCTCACCCCTCACAACTTTTTCCCTAACATAATGATAATCAACCTCCAAATGTTTCGTCCGAGAGTGAAAAACTGGATTGGACGCTAATGAGATAGAAGAAACATTGTCACACCAGAGAATTGGTGGTGGCAACGAAAGAGACAAATCTCGAAACAAGGAACGCAACCATGATATTTCTGCGGCTGTATATGCAAGCTGACGATATTCGGCTTCCGTGCTTGATCTAGAAACAGTCTTCTGCTTCTTTGAGCTCCATGAAATAAGATTGGAGCCTAAGAAAATGCAATAGCCACCGGTAGAATGCCGTGAATCAGGATCTCCGGCGTAATCAGCATCGGAATAAGCACTCAACTTCAGCGGACCTGGTTTATACCGTAAACCATGATCAAAAGTGAATTTCAAATATCTGAGGATGCGCTTGACCGCTTGCCAGTGAGTTGTGGATGGAGAATGCATAAATTGGCATACTTGATTTACAGAGTATGACAGATCAGGCCGGGTAATCGTTAAATACTGCAAAGCACCAACAACTTGCATGTACTCCGTAGGATCACAAAGAGGTTCACCAGAATACGTACTCAACTTTTGACCAGAAGCACATGGAGTGGACAAAGGCTTACAATCTGTAAAGCCAGTACGTACCAATAAATCAGTAGCATACTTAGCTTGTGTCAAGTGAACACAATCACCCTTATAAGTAACTTCAATTCCTAAAAAGTAATTTAGGGGCCCAAGGTCCTTCATGGAGAATAGCTTACCCAAAGTCTGAATTAATTTCATAATCTGAGGCAAACTATTTCCAGTGATCAAAATATCATCAACGTAGATTAACAGCACCAAATAAACACCACCATGATTGTATATGAATAGGGAATAATCACACTTAGACTCGTGAAAGCCAAGAACAAGCAAGTAGTCACTGAATCTCTGAAACCAAGCTCTTGGAGCTTGTTTAAGCCCGTACAGAGACCTCTGCAATCTGCAAACATGATTCGGATATTGAGGATCAACAAATCCGTGCGGCTGTCTCATGAAAACATCTTCATTTAAAAAACCATGAAGAAAAGCATTTTGGACATCCAATTGTCGTACTGACCACTTATTCGAAATTGCCAGACTCAAAACCATCCGAATGGTTGTATGCTTCACCACCGGACTAAAAGTCTCTGTATAATCGAGTCCCTCTTGCTGATGGAACCCATTGGCAACCAAACGAGCTTTAAACCTCTCAATCGAACCATCAGATTTCCTCTTGACCTTGTACACCCATTTATTGGGTAAGATATTCATATGAGAAGTAGCTGGAACCAATACCCAAGTTCCGCAACGCTGGAGAGCACTAAATTCTGTGGCCATGGCCTGACGCCATGCTTCTTTCTTCACTGCTTTGCTAAAACAGGTAGGCTCAACCTCTGAGACATCAACCACTGAATGCATCGCATATTTGGGATTTGGTTTTAGATGGCCAGTCTGTGATCGAGTAACCATGCGCACTGGTAGAGCTTCCTCTAAATTTCCTGCATCAATACAACTCGGAACTACTGAAGGAGAAACTGAGACCGATTGTGATTCAATGTTGGGAGCAAGGGTTTGCACAATAGTGTTTAGAGTAGAGGTATTTGAGACGGTGGCAGCTAGGTCTGGTGTAGGAGGAGTGTTTGATGAAGGTATTGCTAAGCTGTGAAGCTGAGAAGTGGGCTGCGAAGTGGAAGTTGTGGCTGTTAACGGAATGGGCTCACTATCTGGGCTTATATGAGGCTGTGAAGTAGAATCTGGGCCTGGAGCATTAGGATTAGATAAAACAGAAAATTCGAAACTAAGAGATGGAGAAGAGTCACCTGGGTCCGAAGGACTGCTCTGCCGAGTAGATGTGAGAATTTTGAATGGAAATGTCTCCTCATCAAACAACACATGTCTGGAGATGTAAGTTCGTCCTGTACTGAGGTCCAAACATTGGTAACCAAGATGATTTAATGAATATCCCGTGAACACACAAGACTTAGAACGAGGTTCAAGCTTGTTTTTGTTATATGGACGCATAAGAGGAAAACAAGTACAGCCAAAAACTCGAATGAAATTATAATTTGGAGAGGTGTGGAATAACTTCTCATAGGGAGATTTTTGTGCTAAGACTCGTGTTGGCAAACGATTTATGAGATAAACAGAAGTTTTAAAAGCCTCTACCCAATATTTTAAAGGCATATGTGAGTGAGTTAAAAGAATTAACCCAGAATCAACTAGATGACGGTGTTTTCGCTCGGCTAACCCATTTTGTTCCGGATGCTTAGGACATGAGAAGCGTTGATGAATGCCATGAGAAGCTAAGAATTGTTTTAAAGCTGTTTTAGTGTATTCCCCTCCTTCATCACACTGCAAAGACTTGATTTTGCAAGAAAGCAAATTTTCAACATATGTTTTAAACTGAACAAAAATACCATGAACCTCAGATTTATTTTTCATTGGATAAAGCCAAGTGTATCGTGAAAAATCATCAACAAACAAAAGATAATATCGAAATCCATTAATTGAACTAATCGGAGAACTCCATACATCAGAGTGTACAAGTTGCAAAGGAAATTGAGACTGAGATGATGAAGAATGAAATGGTAATTTAGAACTTTTTGCTAACGGACAGGAATGACAAAAAGCAATTTGAGAAGACCCACAAGAAGGTACTGTCTTATTTGAAATTAAAAACTTGATTATTGGTACTGCAGGATGCCCCAAGCGTGAGTGCCAAGTTTGAGCAGAAACACAGGTGCCAATAGATGCCGCTAAAGCTTGAAATGATAAAGGTGGATTAGAGCGTAGCGGATAGAGCCCATTCTCACATCTCCCTCGGAAAAGCGTCCTCTGGGTTTGTAGGTCCTTTATCAAAAAGAAATCAGGATATATGAGAAAGTAGCAATTGTTATCTAGAGTAAATTGATGGACAGAGAGTAAACTAGAAGAAGCTGTAGGACACCGCAAAACATTATTTAATTGAAATTTGGAAGAAGCTGTATGAAAATCAACAGTCCCAGTATGAGTAATAGTAAGTCCAGAATCACTACCTATGCCTCCCACTTGATCATTACCATTGTACTCTCGAGGGTTGTTCAAGGTGCCAAGATCAGGAGTAATATGAGAGTTTGCACCTGTGTCAATCAACCAAGTGTTGGCATTTGGGCGAGGGTTGATGTTGGACTGAGATGCCATAGCAGAGAGACGACGAGTAGGAACCCTACCCTCATAGGCCATGTTCATGCGATTAAAGCAATCAAGGGCCTGATGCCCATTATTTCCACAAATCTGACAGCGACTATGAAACAGTAGAAGAGGAAGCATCACCTGAATTACCATTACGCTGAAAATTGGAATTTGGTCGGAACTGACCTCGACCACCAGAAATGGGACTGCTATTGCGGTTTGGGGTAAAACCTCGCCCAAACGATCTTCCTCGACCTCCACGACCACGAGCAGCAGCAAAAGCAGAAACTCCTGCGGTCGGATCAACTGACTGTTGCACCTGTTCACCTTGACGGCGCTCAGCAGTAAGTAAGAGAGCCTCCAAGGCCTCATACGTAATCGGAGTGTCCCTGGCCTGTGCAGCACTGACGGTGACTTCAAAGGCCGGTCCGATGTTGTTCATGATAATAGTAACAAGATCAGAATCCATAATGGGGCTTCCAGCGAGGGCAAGATTGTCTGCAATCGAGTTGATTTTGTCCAGGTAGTCTGAAACGGACAAGTCGCCTTTGATGGTGCGAAGGAGTTCATTGCGCAGATGAAGGATGCGATTGTGAGAAGTGGATGCATAGCGACGTTCCAGAGAAAGCCAGGATTGACAAGCTGTGGGAGACAACGCCACAGTGGATAACACAGACGGAGTGAGTGAGTTGTTGATCCAACTCAATATTGTCTGGTCTTGCTGGATCCAAGAGAGATAAAAAGGATTGACGACATTGTCGGCAGTACCTGGAAGAGACTTGGGAGGACAAAGGATTGTGCCATCAACGTAGCCAAAAAGATCACGACTACGAAGAATTGGAGAAATTTGAGCCAACCACAGTGGGTAGTTGGAGCGGGTCAATTTGATAGTAATGATGGTGGAAACAGCAGGTGGAGGCTGATGTGGTTGGTTGTTGGTATTGGGAGGATTTTGGTCATTGGTGTTGGTGGTGTGGTTGGGAGGAAGGGCAGAGCTATCAGAGTTGGCCATGGGAAACGTGGGAAAAAAAAAATCGTTAGATAATAAGAGCTCTTGATACCATAAAAGACTCAAGAAATGGGAGAGAAGGCTTCACCAGTAACTCTGGTGTAAGCACGTATTTATAATATTGGATTGATAACTTACAATTCAAAATACAAGAGCTATTCCACTAAACAAGGGATCAGCTCAAATACAAATTAACCCTATCAGCATATCAACTATTTAAATTCAAATCCACAACTGACTTATCACTAACAGTCTGCGCATGATTTGGACTTGGTCTAACACCATCTTCATCATCATCAGCATTATTTCTTCTGGTTTCAGGCTTCATCAACAAAACCTATTAACGGAAAACGTTGGAAATGGAGGACCACTGCCAGTCTGCCACTGACTGGTGGTAATTTTATTCATTCATGTGGCAGTGCAGTGAACCAAACTCAATATTATTCATATTGTCAGAGAACAACAATCTCTCCTTACAAGCATTCAAGCATTTATGCATTTATGCATTTCACGATGACTGCTTCATGGGTTTTATTTTATTTATTATTATCAAATAATCCAAACCAAAATGAGCCCACACTACTTGGTTTGGTGGTGATGATGATGTACCGTTACTCTCGGCTGTCCGGGCCACAGCAGCTTTGACCCAACAAGGAACATGTGAGAGCCCACATGTTAAAAACACAGTGCCACTCACTGACCCCTCACACCATCACCGTCCATCCAATCAATGTTATATGTGAAACATGGTGGGCTCACTTCAGAATCCCTGGTGGACCCAATCCCTCACTCAACAAAGAACACAAAAGGAAGGGAAGGCTCCTCCTCCTCCTCCTCCTCCTTCTCACATACAAACACGTACTGCAGCAGATCATCAACAACACACCTACCTACTCCGTGAACTCAACACTGCACTTCAAGTTCTAACCAATTTATTTCATGATCTATTAAAAGTGTAGATAAGAAACAGTCACTGAAATTTGGTTTAAGACTTCAAACCATCTATTTATCTTTATAAGTTACGACAAAAAATATTATTCCTTATAAAAGTGGCCATCATCACTCCATCATCCAAACCATAGTTTAAAAGCAAGTTATAACAAAATCCCAATAGAATATACTACTATGTACACAAAATCATTCATTCCTAGCCCTAAAATTCTGCAGCATTTCTGTAATGCTGTCCAACTTCTCTAGCTAATATAATATTCCTCTTTTATTTGTCTAACACTGACTGACTTGGATCACTTTCTGTGTGTGTTTTCTTTATTTTTGTCTTTTTGGGTTTTCCCTACACTCAGACAGACTCAGTTGTGTATTGGAGGTTTTCTCCTTGCTGGAGAATAGTCCATTTCAGTCATGTCTGTGAGGTCAGGATAGTGTTGGACTTGGTGGGCTGCTGCAGCCTCCTGCTCCTGGTGCTTTGAAATAACCGATGATGACTTAGCTTTCACATCACCATCTTCCCCACCAGGCTGTGTATTATTATTGACCCTTTCACCTTTTGGGTCCAGGTCACCTCTGTTCCCTCCATCATCCTTGTCATTCTGTACATGGATCACACTGAATCAGAGACACCTAACCTAACCCCTATCAATTGTTACTTCAACTTAAATACGAGATTAGTATATTGTTATTTTGACTAATTAAACCAACCTTTGAAGTGGTGGTAGTGGCAGCAGCACTAGAGGCTGTCTTAGAGATTAGTTTTCTAGTCTTTCCTGCAACAATACAAATCAAAACCACTTAATTAATTAAGGTACGTAATGTAATATGTATGAGTCTTTGATTTACTGCATGAACTTAAGTTAATCAGATTAGTTTCGGGAAGGGACAAAAATTGTTGTGTAGATCCTATTCTACACAATCTTCTGGAAACCCAAGAGTTTGAAGAACATTGATCCTATTCTTCTACCTATCTCTAACTAAGCTCTTCTAGTAGCCAAAAAATGGATAAAATTAAGAAGGATGGAATGATATAATAAAATGTAGCTAGGAAGGTAATTAACTAAACTAATGGTGCTTGGGTTTGTGGGTCCTAGGTCCATAATAATCTTCATGAATACTTGGTAACCAGTGGTGTGATGACTTCTTGGATTCTCTAGAAACTGTTTTCTTCAAGGTACCTGATGATGAACAGTCTCCACCATCTTTGCAGAGACTGCTGGACTCTCCTGGACCAGCACTTCTTTTGATTGAAGCAGTTTCCTGTTCCTGCATTTAACAATCAAATTATGGAATGTAATGTAAGAAAAATATCTTGCACAGAGAAAAAGAATGAGAAACATGTATACATATATTGTTCTTCCACGTCTGAAATTTTAATTATCTTGAATGGTAAGAAAATTTTACAAAGAACATGAAAGAAGAGCTCACTTGTAAATTATTATCATTATTCTGTTGTGTAACAGAGATGAATCCTTTCTCCAATCGAATCCCTTCAAAAGAAAACCAAAATTAGCTAATTTGAAACCAATATTTCATAGACATAAATAGTTTTCTAATAACTAGGTTTTGCAAAAATAAGTACCTTGAGCCCCAGAAAGGAGGAGGGACAAAAGAAGAAGAGAGACTGCTAGAGATGGAGTTGTCATTTGGAGTAAATCTTATGAAACAGAGATATGGCAGAAGAAATACTGAGTGAGAGATGGGAAAGAAGATTAAATGTCAGCAACAAAGTGTTGTGTTCTGTTTGCTGCACTGCAGGTTTCTCTTTTTCTTTCTCTCTGTTTAAAAGCTTGAACATGCAGAGCTAAATCTGAATGGTAGATGGTTTGGGTTTGGGAGATCCCTGCTTATATACATATATAATCTTTGGGTTGGGGGCCCACCCACACTAATTTCTTCAACTTGTAAACTTTAAATGAGATGGATGATTTCGCTTTCAATTCTCTTTTTAAATTTCATTTCGTTTTTAAAGTGCAAGTCCTTGTCCAAGGAAATAAAAGACATGTTTTATAATCCATTGGATCGCGGTTTGTTTGTGTTAATCAAATTCCAGTTCAAAAGGCAATTCATTGTGGGGACCAGATTTGTCTTTTATGAAAAGGCACAGTTGTTTTGCTCACTCTCTGCCTTCGCTGCAAAATGTCCCATCTTTTTGGGGTAAAATGAGGATTTTCTGAATCCGCTCTCAAATCTTGTTTAATCTGTTAATTAATTTACTCGGTTTTCAGGTTTAATGGTCCTTGAATTTTGACTCAATTCACATTCTGGTCTTTCAATTTCCAAAATCGCTACCGTGATCTTTTAACTTTAGTTTCGTTAGGACAAATGGTCATACTGTTAATTTTGTTAATTTTTTTCTGTTAAATTTGAGCATGTGCATGCACATAGTGTATTGTTGAAGGTCAAAGTTAGAAATTAGTTCACTTCTTAGGTAAATTAAAAAATCAAAATACAACCATGAGATGTGGTGTGGTGGTAGCTCACCTTATTCCTTAACCATGAGGTTGGGGGTTCGATCCCCACCCATGGGAATGGAGCGCATTTCGTGGTCAGCCGTTTACCTCCATTGGGAGAGCTCCCGCGACGAAAGGGATTAGTCACTGCTGTCGACGGTAGATACCCTTAGGTCTCACCTAAAAAAAAAAAATCAAAATACGAATGGAGTCGAAATTCTCCATTACTATTAAACCTAAAAACCCATAATTGACCATGCCTTTTATTTTTTATGCCCTATCTTCTGAGAAGAATGATGTGTCAATCAAACTTGCACAGGTCCATATAATTTGCTTTCCGTGTTGTACCTCATTTTTCCATGCAACAAAAAACAAACCCTTTGGTGGGATTAGACAAGGTGATTTGCCAAGTGGTACCAACCCAACCAACCAAACATGTAATTTGGTTGGTCAAGGAATAGAATCATATGGCTATAAAGAGCAATGGTATTTCGTTTTGGGTGACTGATCAGATCAGATACGACGCGTGCACTTTACAACTTTTGCGTTTATAAATTATATGGTATGCCTGATTGGAGCGAGGGACGGGACGTGCGTACTGCATTCGACAATTCAAGGCCTTTCCTTTCACCTGTATTTACCAAAGATGCTTTGCAAGGCATGCTTTTTTATATAAAAATGCAAATTACTTGCTGCCGTTTAGTAGAGTTTATATGTTAATCATGAATCAGACAGTGCCACGACTTGAGCTCCCAAAACGCAGTGGGCAGCAGCCCACGTGTCACAGGAAGCAATCGGAGTAAATGTGACGGCGACAGGCAAAGTTGAAAGTCACCCACTTTACATTCACACCGCCACCTCCAGTCCAGACGTGGCAGTATATGTCTCTAGCTACTGGCTGCCGGCTCAAGGGATGACCACTCCACGTGGACGTCCACATCTAGCGGGGTCCACGTCCACCTGAATATGACGTGGCATAAAATTTGGCCACGTGGGCACCGCCGTATCACGCGGCATGTCTGTGCTTTGACTATAAAAAACAAACATCCCGGGACGACGTTTGTCGAGACTGCCATGCCATGATTTTTCGTAATGGTCTCTGCTTCTCTTGTTTTCTTTTTTCCCCACAGTGGATGTTGATAGTGTTGTGGTTGTTGCTTAATAGGTTTTTTTAATGACATAAGAATTTCAGATTTTGATGCGATTAATTATTTTTTTATCGAAAAGGAAGAAAAACAAAGATTACTTAATAATTCGTGAAAAAGAATGGATTAGCCAATCTGGATCACACTAATTCTGGTGTCACTTGAGTGACAGTGGGCATTGTTTGTCGATCGTAGAAAAATGCTTGAATTGTGGGTTGCTGTCAAATGAAAATGACCTAAATCAATCGGCTAGAATTATTAAAACATTAATTAACTATTATTAGCTTCCTCTAAACTGCAACTTCTGTTGTCATTTATTATTTAATTGTTTTGCAGAGGCGTTGAGAATTTCAGTTAGGGGGACCAGGTACGTGTTATTATTATTATTATTATTATTCAATAACAGTCGTAATAAAGAATGAATGAATGAATTCTTGGTGTTTGGAGAATTGATTTAAATTAATGAACGCAATTACGCAGTCTTACTAAAAAGAAAGATATATACAGCAGACGAAAAGTACGTATCTTGTACATAAAATGATTGTTAATTGCCAGTAAGGGAAGGGACCATCCACGTCCATCAACAATCATATTCATCTTACAAATTTGTTCAACCATTGAAGAGAAGAGTCGCGTACGTAAAACGTATATAATTAAGATATATTTAATTCAATTATGGGATAATTAATTAACATAAGCATACAAATATTAATGTCTGGACAAATCCAAGTTACTCGAAAAGTGTGGAAGATTGACAAATATTGAGCCGACAGAGGGACATCACATGTTTTTGGGATTCAGTTAATCATCTACCAAACCAGAAATTGGACCACTGTCCACTGGTTTCAACGCTAGCATTTGGTGGATCTAGAGAGACATGTTTTGTGCTTGCATGTTTGCAATGTTTTATTCAAGATAAATCCAATTCAAATGGGGGCTTTCCCTTTCCCTTTGAAATTTCTTACTAACTACACTACTATATACTACATACGGTGCCAAACTAGCTAAAAGTGTGGGTGATATAATAAATATTGGACCCAAGAGGCGGGTCACAGGTTCATGATCATGACATGAAAATTAATTGGTTGGGTTGGGTTGGGTTGGGATGGCAATGCAGTGGCAAAAGGAACGTGAACATCGCATGCATGCATAATAAATGCCATATGCTAAACCAGTCAGTTTTTGTACACAATTCCATTCAATATTAATAATAATGCTATCCATTTCATCATGTATATTAATTTCTAGTCATTCTTTCTCTAGAGTAATTAAATGCATACGGCAAGTGTTCCGAGTAATGCTAATCTTATTACATTCTCAATAATAGATGAAGTGGACATCCTCATCCGCTATTGACAAACCCTTTGATGCATATATGTATATATGTATGTATATGTCCCGTAGATATATAATTAGTCTGGATCTGAATCTGAACATCTAGCTGCATGAACATTTAATCTTGTCAACTTACGTACGTACAGTGGGATATGTTGGTGGTCTTTGTGTGGTGTGGTCCCTCTCTCTCTCTCTCTCTCTCTCTCTCTCTCTATATATATATATAGGGTTTAGGGCTAGTGGTGTGTACTAGTAATTAACATGTGTTTTCTGCTACATTGGCACATGGGCTGTGAACCCACCCCACCCATCCCCCTCTCCCTAATTATCAGGCAGCCATCCTCCGCCTCAATTATATATTCTAAATATAAACAAAATTATTAATTAAGGAGAGAAGATAGTTTAATAGGTACAGGAAAATGTTCAATGCACCCAAATTTCCTCAACCATGCATGAAAGCCGTGAAGCTCAACATTTTGGTTTAGGGTTTAGGCGAGCATTAGAGTCACCACTCATCACTCGTGACAAGGAGCATGATCAAACTTTTGAGGGACATCTGGGCCATCTCGGAGAGAGACTTTTTAGGAGCAAACAAACCGCCTATACTTTTTCTTTTTGGTCTATTTTATTTCCAAGGTATGAGAAATTCGAATTTAGAACATTTTTCATCGACGACAGTACTCCTTGTCTTGTCATGAGATAAGAGAGTACTCCCTAGAGAGATAACATGTGTACTACCTGGCATGTCAAGAAAAGTAATGAAACTCCTACTTACCACATGATATATGATCACTTTTTTTTGTTTTGGGTTTACCACCATCGTTAAGTAGAGATAGGATTGTCCACTTATATTTTGGGTACTTGTGCTATACTCACATCTAAAATTACACTGTTTTGGGTTCAAGAAAGTTACAGGTTTAGTATAAGAGTTTATTTTGAAAGGATAATGAAAGGGAAGTCGGAGACTATGTAATTTTATATGTATACAATCATAAAAAACACAAAAACGTTGATGTGAGTTAGACCAATTGGTTAGGGCAATGAGTCCATTCTTTACGCCCAAGTTCGAATCTCCCTCCCTGTAAATTATATCAATATAACACATACAAAATCTGAGTTTTTGGGCCTGCTTCCAAGGCTCCTAAACATGTCCAAACCTATTTTTATTGGGCCTTCATTTTTTTCCTAATCCTGTCGACGCCCTCCTTTATTGGGCCTTCACCTTTATGCTCCAAGCCCAAGCCCGAGCTTATTTCTCAGTGGAAAAGCATGCGTGCGTTTCCACTCAAATTTATTTGTCAACGACCTTACAGTTGGTGGTTGGCTATTTTACCGTTACAAATCCCGCCCACGTTAACCGCTAAGCCACCCCCCTCAAAATTCCCAATGCAAAGAGCAAAACCTATTTCCCTCCTCTCTAATCTTGATTCACAGATTATCGTCTCTGCACTCTGCCTCTCATTTTCAACACTAATATTTAGTCTTTAATAATAATATATATTAGGTATTCTGTAGCTTTGACTTTTCTTCTTCATTTCTTTTTAGTTACGGTAGCTCCTCTTCATTGTAATGATGCGTGCAACTTGTTCCAATAATTCTCCTCCTCCTCAACAAATCCCAACAACGTAAGTCATTGAGGAGAACAAAAATAAGTTTTCCAGGCCAACTTGTTCATGAACTTGTATATATATGTGAAATCAACATGTAATTTCTTGTTCTGTTCGCAGAAGAAGATGTCAGTGTTCCCCTCATGGACAAAAATGTGGCTGCAGTGAAAGGATCAATCAGCTTTCAGGTGAATTAAGTCAGGGCTCTCAGCTGAAGCCAGATGTTGGGTTAATTGCCAATTTTGAATCCGAGAGGGAGAATGGACATTTTCTCTCTCTTCTTGTGAGTAAAACTTCATAATAGTTCCTTTGCATTTACATGTTTTCTTGCTCCAAATTTTCATACATGCATGGTTGCATCTTCTCCAGACTTCTTCATCCTCGTTCCGACGACCACATGAAGCTTCAAAACCAACGAGCCATGTTCAAAACAAGGAACACTCTAATTTGCTTTATCAGTCGGACCACTCATCATCACCAGGGCTAATTGTTCGAAGGAGTTTGCATGATCCGCTTTCAGGAGCCACCATAAGGAGCATAACAAGTTGCATTGCTAACACTTCAAACCTCAACTTACCTCATACCATAAGCCAAATTGGAAGAGCTAATTTTCCAGGTTCACAGAATGAGGAGCTTAATTCTGGAACTTGCACCACATTAATTCTTGGATCTACTCCTCTTCGCCATATTTCTTTTTTCCAAAGTCGTTTTGGGCTGCCTAACAATCTTTTGCGGTCTTTATGGCCTTCCCTTTGGCCTCCTCACGTAAGTGCAGATTCTACATTTCGATTTGGTCAAGCTTCTGCTTATTCTTCTGATGATAATGGGGTCCAAAATGTTACCCAAATTGATCTATGGAGGCAACTACTCATGGAATTGACTCTATATATGCACACGCCGGCTGATAGCTTGTTAGAAGGTTCGACTTCATTTTTTGTTGTAACAGCTAACCGTGGAGTGAACTTCAGGCTTGTCACAGAGGTTTGTCTATTATTTCATTCTATCTAAGGAAATCTCTTTTCAATGACTACAAATGTGAAGGTGCAGCATGGTAAGCCTTGCTTCCTGTACAGTGTCCACCTGCTGATTCTCAGCCTAACAATAGACATATATGTATAACTGTATTGAACCAAGAACTAAATGATTGTATGATCATTAGATCAATCTGTTATAGCATTATAGCATAGCTTGTATAATCATTTGATTGCATTGCTTTCGTCTTTAATTCTACACGAGCAGAATGCTGGAGTTATTTACCAACGGCCTCTGCACGTTTCAATTGAAATGCGCAATCGTTCTGGAGCTATGTGGCTTGATGTGGATAGCATGTCATATGAGGTATTCTCACATCAAAACTTTCATTTGTCACAGAATTTTTTTTTTAATCAATAATACTTTAGTATCTCTTTTGTCTTACTTACTCCTGGCATTCTACAGGAGTTGTTGGCTTTAGAAGATCATATAGGGAATGTCAGCACAGGATTATCTGAGGAAGCAGCTGTTGCATCTCTCAAGCGCAGCAATTACTTTTTGTTTGCAGAAGAAAATGCTCAGAAAGACTTTTGCAGCATCTGCCAGGTATTTTGCTTATACTCTATATTAATTTGACTTTCTATCAAGTTTCTGTGACTAAGCGATAAATGCCTATCAAAGTGAATGGCATTACAATGTTGGTCTTCATGACAGGAGGATTTTGTAGAGGAGGATGAGCTAGGAACATTGGATTGTGGGCATGGCTTCCACATTGCTTGCATTAAACAATGGCTGGGATATAAAAATGTATGTCCTATATGCAAATCTCCCGGTTTATGTACCACACGCCCCTCATTCTCACGAATTTAAAGTCTGCAAAGTATGACTTATGAAGCTGAATTTTTCTGAAAAGTACATGGTAAGGATTGGGGACTACTCTATATATGTTCTGTTTCTCCATGTTCACCAGCCTAGTTTAGTTTAGCTTCATTTTCTTTTTCTGTAAATGTACAGATTATGTATAAAAAACAATGCGGATATCTTAATGTATATACTCTAAATTTCTCGCTTTGGTGCGGATTTGAACGTCATGTACGATATGTATGTTTATTTATGCATGATAATATGGAGAATAAGAATCAAGATGAACAGAAACATAATTTTTTGTAATGACTATTCTAAGGAGTGCACAGTAGTTCATGGCAATATGCATATGTTGAACATCTATGAACCACCTTTTCTCAGACAATTACTTTGTGAAATAGAATTTGATGAAACCTGTATCAAAAGTTGAAGTTAGAAAGAACCATTGTGCTACTGAAGAAAGGATCCTCTCCTGCTCTAGTAAATCATTGGTTTTAGTAGCAGCTTCTCTCTGACATCGATTCACTGTCACCATCAAAGAATAGGGGTGCAACTCCTTGTGACAGTAAATTAGGCTCACTATCAAAGCCGGGGCAGGGTATTTATTTGTCAATCATGTATGACATTGGGAAACACTAAGTTGGGACTCGTTTATGATGTTTTCAGTGGATGTTTATCGATCAAGTCGTAGAGTTCATCTCCGATTCCGAACCCAAGCATCCTAGCCATGTCACTGGTCTTCAATCTAGGCTTTGGAATGTCATGTTGCTTCAACCATGAGTACACAATAAAAACCTTCTGCATAACGAATAGTTCCAGTGCCTCAGGATTGAAGACCACCCCCATCCTCGTGTTCATCTACAAAGATAAGATTTCAAAGGTCATTCCATTAAACAATGACAAGCCCCTCCTCACTCTCAAACTCTGACACAATGGCATTGTTATAAAATACAATACCTGGTGTGGAACCAACATGGCAGCATAACGAGCCAGTTCTCCGGCTCGCCAATCCAAGAGGACAGGCAACCAGGGATAGGAGGCATCAAGTCTCAAAAACCAGAGTCTTATATCAGGGAATTCTGATAGTTCTCTAGGATCACGTGGATCTTCTCTTGTATAGTTAATGGTAAAGCCAATTGTACGTTCAAGAAACTCTTTTGGCTTGGCTAGTTACAAAAATTGCAGTAATACTTCATCAGGGTTTTGCATAAAAAGTCATCATGAACTTGGACTTGTAAATCTGATGCTCAATTGATTGCTTTACCTGATGAAGGATTGGTAATCCCAGTTGCAGAATGAAATGGGGATAAGTCAAGACCCCGAATCACATCATTATCAAGAACTATTTCAAATCGACCTTCACTTGGTGGCATTGGAGGTTCAACCTTACTAGATGTGTCTGTCCACCACAATGATTTATAAGTTGGATTTGACCAAGTTTTCATATCCAATATATTGGTTGTATAAAAAAGTTTTGGCCTTTTATCCTATTAAAGGAACAAGCTTTCTGAAGTAGTCCAAAAGATAAAGGGATATAAACATAGTGAGCAGAGAACCCAATTAATGAATTAAGAAAGGTTTTACCTTCTTCCTCGTCATACAAAGAGATGTCAAAATTCCCAGATGGGTTGAAGGCAACTGAGACTGCCATTTGTCCTTGCCGCCTATTTAAGTTTGAAATGGCCAAAGAGCCTATGGAATCTGAGATGGGTGGTCTAAGGGGAGTCCATGGAGCAGGAGAGGATATGGCCTGTCTGGAACAGCAAATGGGAAGCAGGGTTTGGAAGATTGCAGCCATTGCTGTGTAAGTCTGCCAGCCAGCCTCTCAGACAGTTAATACAGTTGTTTTTCTTTCTTGCATTTTCTTGTGGCCTTTGTGTTTTGAATGCTCATATTATCCCTTCATGGGTTTTTATAACATGTGCCTCGTCCTCAGCAGCAAATTTCAGATTTGGGCTGGGCTGGGCCATAATCAATCAAATTTGAACAATCTGGTTGAGATTGTGTTTTGGAAGACATGAATGAGGAAGCCCAATCTGCAATTAGATTGGGCAGTGCCTGTTGCCTGTCTGTTTCAATCAATGTTTGCCTTTTGCCACATATCCTATTCTTGTGTACCAACCGGAGCCTGCCAGCACAATATATTACCAGTATCAATCGTCAACCACCACATGCCAATCCATTCATAATCATATGAACGAAAGCAAGAACTCAGAATTTGATATTGTTTTTCAGTTTCATGTTGTCAACAGAAGATATAATTAAGAATAGAAAATTGGTTCAATTTCGTGTCTGTCTCTGTGTTGTTGAGTATATTTAGTTTGCTGCTGTGCTGCCACATGGGTTGGGTTTCGTTTGAAGTAATTCCACATATTACTTGATGATTTCTAGGAAAGAAAGAAGGAAAGACGTGTGGCGATATTGCACACCTCACACTCAGTTTGCATGTCATTTACACAAAAACCCACAAATTTGAACGAATTATCTTTTTATTGTTGACACCAAATTTATTTCTATATGCACATAAAGAGAAGACGTTTCGCCCAACATTTACTTATAAATTACTCAAAAACCTAATGATCATATATTTCCATAGCTCTTGGAAATTACTAATTGAAGTTCAAAGTGGCATCCATAAAATTTAGAGGCTTTTCATCTCATAAGCACATGTTGACGCAACATGCCATCCCATGCAAGCTATATTTGGCCGATGACAACAAAGAAAGGCACGGTCCCAATTCAGCATTGGTCTAAGCCTTTCATTTCGTGACCACAATTCATTCATCTTTTATGCAACATATAATTGTGAAAGGGTCCATAATTCATCATTTTGTTTCTTTCTTCTGGACGAATTCTTTCTTCTTAGTTCTACCACAAATCAAATTAAAGCATCCTTTTCCAATCACGGGTTTGTTTTTCTTTTATTCGTAATTTTTTCGATGATTTATGGCTCGTTTGGAAGGATTCCAATATGTTTGATGAATAAAATAAAGTTGAAGTTATTATTTATACCAAAATAAAGAAAATAAAAAATTGATATGCTTAACACTGTCAAGTTTAATGGCAACTATACCCCTCTGGCAACTAACCTAATGCAACAAAATGAGATGCTTCCTTGTTATTCCAACGAATTAGAGGAGTAAATTCCAGTGGAAAAGCCAAGAGACTTGTCATGTCCTCTAATTTCAATAATTTCTTAATTACGTACACCACAATATAAAATGAACAGTAATAATATCTCATTCATATTCCCCACACGGCTTTACTCTTTTGCTTCTTTTCTAAGCAAAATACCAAAACAATTGACCCAAAAAAAAGAAGCAAAATATCAAAAGTTACTGTTATTTCGAGCAAGCCATTGCCCACCTACCTACTTTAGCAGTAATATTAACATGATATTTTTAGCTACAAATTACAATCAAATCATATATTTTTCCATAATTTATACAACTATACCAACGAATGTTTAAAACCCAATTATGCATCAGATGTTTTTTTTTCCTTTTCCAGATATTAAGCAAAAAGAAAAAAGAAAAAAAATCTTAAAGAAAAGCATATTACCAATTATTTTTTGTTTTTGAAAAAATAATATTGTAAATATCATGTCTGTCATATCATTCTTTATTCCCACCAAGAAAAGCACACCAAAATTAAAAAAGAAAAAACCAACAACCTTCTTCTACACAAAAGAAAAGCATCGAAAGGTTGCTTGGCGAAAATAAATTAAAATCGCGAAAGAGAATCGGAAAATATAAGAAGGGTATTTTCGTCATGACGAAAATACCGACAGAGACCAACAGGAGTTGGTCCAAGTGGAAGGGGCTTGGATCCTTTAAATAAGAGGTCCTGGGTTCGATCACAGGCGCTTGCGAATAGAGCAGACTTTGTTGGGAGAGGTCCCCGCTTTGCGCCCGACAGTACCTCGAGGGTTAGTCCCCGCAATCGCGCGGGGTATACCTTGGTTTTCACCAAAAAAAAAAAAATACCTCCCCGCAATCGCGCGGGGTATAACCTTGGTTTTCACCCAAAAAAAAAAATACCGACAGAGGATATCTGGAAAATATAAGAAGGGCCCTTGAGTGCCCGTCGCTTTCCAAACCGTAATAATCGAAAACCAAAGATATTAGCTGATATATATTATATAGTAAATTACAATCTGTCTCTCACTCTGTCTGTCTCTCACTCTCTCTCTCTCTCTCTCTCTCACACACACACACTCTGAATTAACCAAACAGACGCTTTTAACAATTATACGCGGCTTTCCTCTGGTTCTGGTTTGGGATAGGCCTTCTGGATATTTTTCTTAGTCTGCAACCCAGAAACAGAAACCGCAACCCAAAATGTTATGTTTTAGATCAAACCCACCAAAAAAATTCCTTCTTTTTCTTTCCCTTGCCCTCTTCATTGCTTTAACTTCAGGACGCTCTCACATTTCGCACACTTTTCGAACAACGGGTACTGTATAATTTTTTTGCTTTTATTTGCCTAGAAAATGGTTATTTTGTGTTATTCAAGAAAATGGGTTATTGTTGATGTTTTTTTTTTCTTTTCTGGTTGGTGCAGGTGTAAGAGTAGGTGGTGAGAGTGAGTATGAGTATGGTGGAGCGGTGACATGGGACTCAAGGAGGTCTCTTGCAGAAAGAACTGTCCAAAACTCGTCTTTCATATTGGCTAAGGAGAGAACATACAGGAAGGACCCTCTTGATGGGTTCAAGAAATACACTGGTGGTTGGAATATCAGCAATGAGCATTACTGGGCTGTGAGTTCTCTCAACCCTTGATTAATTTTCATATCCTGGCTGTTTTCTTTGTGCTTGTTATGATTTGGGTTTCTCTGAGTTTATGAATATAATCATGTTGTTTGGGCTGTCTTGCTACTTGGATGGACTGTTAAATGGTCCTTAAGAGTTAAGACCACAATTGGATAAAGAGAAGCTTACGCACTAGAATTGGAATATAAAATTCATCTGACATACCACAAAGTAAAGCAGCACCCAGAAAGAAAAATTTGGACTTGCTAAGCACATGCCATTCTATGTCAGATGGGATATAGATTTCTGGAGTTGAATAGTCCACTGCTGCACCCAAGCTCATCTTTTTCCCTTTGAGAATCAATTGAAGAACCAAACCCCCCTTTCACCCAACTATGAATTCTAGCTTATTTTTCTTCAAATTAATTAACCTTTCAGTACGATCACAAAGCAAAGAAATTATACCTGCTACGAACCAATAGGGGAGATGGAAGGATCTTTTTTTCTTTTGATATTTATAATAAGTTGTTGGCCATGGAAGCCACTTTGAGTGCAGTGCCGTCATGGATGGGCAGCCCCCTCTGTTTTTTTTTTGGGACAATTCTCTAGTAAAAATTTAAGGGGGCAAGATGATTCATTTTGAAAATCAGGAATCAAAATTATTTATTGGTTCAGGTTCAATGGGTATCAGTTTATTATACTCTTTGATGGATTATGCTGTTTGATAATCAACAACGAGTTGTTATTGGGTTTTGGTTATCTGTATGCGGTTCTGCAATTTTGCTGCTTTCCTTAATGACATTGTGGTTGTTCAAAACTAATTTTGATCTCTAATGTCTTTCCCTGATGCATTTTGCAGAAAGAACAGTTCTTTCTGCTTATAAATGCAGGCCTTGAACTCTGCCAAGAATGTTATTCATGAATTAATAAATTATTTTTGTATTTTGATGATGTCATTTATTTTCTTTGTTTCTCAAATCCTGTGTTTTTCTTTTTGAGATTGTTTGGAGATTGGAATGCATGTTTAATGTCTCTGAACGAATATATTTACATTGATTACTAATGTATGATGTAGTCTGTTGGTTTCACTGCGGCTCCCTTCTTTGTCATTGCTGCCGTCTGGTTCGTGATTTTTGGGCTAAGCTTGTCCCTTATCTGTCTCTGTTACTGCTGTTGTCCAAGAGAGCCTTATGGTTATTCTAGAACAGCCTATGCTCTCTCTCTCATCTTCCTTATTTTGTTCACCCTTGGAGCAATGTAAGTCTCTCTCTCTCTCTACACACACACACACACATTTGATTCAAATGGACAAGTACTGCCTACAATTTTTGTGAACTGATGACATCCTTTAATGTTTGTCTGGTCCATTCTAGTGTTGGATGCATTGTTCTGTACACTGGTCAGGGAAAGTTCCACAGCAGTACAACAAAAACACTAGTTTATGTTGTGGGTCGGGCAGATACAACTGTTGAAAACCTCAGGAATTTGTCAGGTTATCTTGGTGCAGCTAAAAGGATTGGAGTTGATGCTATATTTCTGCCAGCAGATGTTCAAAGTAACATTGACAATGTTTTAACGAAGATCAACTCTGCTGCCAATACACTTTCTGATAAAACTAAAAAGAATTCTAAGAGTATACAAGATGGATTGGATGGCCTGTAAGTAGGTTCTGGAAGCTCTGGGGAACTTCTGCTCTCAATGCGTTGTATAACATTTATCTCTTTCTATGTTTTGCAGGAGACTGGAACTCATTATTGTTGCTGCTGTTATGCTCTTTTTGGCCTTTCTTGGATTTTGTAAGTCTTTTGTTTTCTTTTGATTAGAGGCAGGGATTTTCAAGATTTGACTATTAACATTATATCTTCTTTTGTTTTGACTACTTGTTGCAGTATTTTCCATTCTCGGTATGCAAGCCCTTGTGTACTTGTAAGTGAAATATAGCTTGAACTATTTCCTTTTTACTTTTTAAGAGAGATCTCAAATATTGGAAGCAGTTGTGTCTTGGTGCTCAAAAATTTGTTCACAAACACTTAATTTGGTGCAGCTTGGTTGTTGTCGGGTGGATTCTTGTTGCGGGCACTTTCATTTTATGTGGTGTATTTCTCCTTCTCCATAAGTAAGTACTGTGTG